CTGTCAGCTTCATGGCCAGGTCTCCCCCAATCAACTTTGTCCCTGATTTGAGACTGCAGAGCTCCGGGTGATGGGGGCTCTGATGAGATTGTACCCTGGTGGTTTTGAAACCTTGATGGCTAGAAGAGAGAAGCCATCACTCCAAAGCTGCTGGTGCTCGGCTGACTCATCCTCTGGGGAAGACACCAGCGTGCCTTCGGTTTTGCAATAGTGGTGGCAGGATTCTGTGCCGACATGGGGGAGTTTGACGCATGGCCGTGTAATAGGTTGTCTGTACTGTGGGCAGAAGTTTATGGGGAGATGATTAAGTTGTTAGGGGAAAAGGCTGAGACCTGAGTAGAGCCCAGAGAAGCCAGAGAGTTGGGGTCCGAGCTCTGGAGTGAGGCATTTAAAGGGGCCAAGGTGTAAGGGAAGGCCAGGAGAAGATGCCTTAGCAGGGTCCAGCCTAGGGACCACTGGAGCTCGGGTTCTAGAATCCAGTTTTAATGCTGTTCCACAATATGATTCCTGTTTCGGCCTTTAGTAAAGTTTTGTTCCGGTTTGTCCTAGTCTTGGTTGTGCTTTGGGGAAGGGGCTGTGTCCCCATGAGGGGTGGCGTGGCTGCAACCTGAAGAAGCTGGTTTTTAAGGGGAGCAGAGTGACCTTGTCCTTGTATGGTGGGGTTAGAGCTGAGTCCCAGGATAGACTCGGGGCATGTGAGCACCCCAGGGCATTTCCAGGAACACTGGGTGGGAAGGTGCTGGTACACTGGATGCTCTGGGGGTCTTCAAGGGCAGGTGCACCAAGGTGCGCGTGCCCCGCAACCCTGCAGGTGGGCCTCGAAGGCAAGCAAACCAGTGCAGGGGGCCAGAGCTCCTTCGCTCCCTGGCTCTCCTCTGGCCACATGCACGTCACTCGGCTGGGGCAGGTATTTCTGAGGCCGTTCCCTGCCTCTGATTGTACAGGTCCTACCGACCACCACCCACCTTGGTCCAGCCCATGCAGTCCACTACTGTCCACCCATGCCACGTGGGTTCCGCGGGCTCCACCGTGAGGTCAAACTCTCAGGTTCAAAACCACTGCCCTGGGCAGGATGGAGAAGATGTGGCTTAACAGCAGTTCAGTCTACGTCAGGGAGGTGATGTGCCAGCCAGAAAAGCCCGTGCATCAACAGAAGCACAGTGAGGCGAATAAATGGGCCCTTCTCCTTGGTGCAGGTCAGATAGACTTAGTTCCACTTTAGATCCAAGCATCACATCTGAAGAAGTGGATTTTGTTCAGATGAGGTATAGGAAGGTGAGCGCTTAAAACTTGTTAAATGCAGGTGGCTTGAAGAGCTGTCTGTCAGACTTACCAGATGCTCACCAATGCGGCTTCCTCTTCATGCATACATAGGAAAACTACATCTCCCAGGCTCCTTTGCGATCTGGTTGGGGCCATGTGACTGGGACCTGGCCAATGGAATGTGAGTAGTAGACACATCAACCACTTCCAGACTTGGCCCCCTGTGAGGTTCTATTTGTGCAGCTTCTCCTACCTGTGTGGATAAAAGGGAAGACCCCAAGACCATGGAACCTCTTGATAGAACGTCCTGAATCACTGCCATCACTTGGGAAAAGACTTGTCAGAAAGCAGCCGCTCATGACTTTGCAGGAACAGGAGACAAACTTGTCTTAAGGCCCTCTGGTGGGGCAGGTGTGCACCGCTCTACAGTCCAGCCTTATCTAATACAAGCTTGGGAGGCTCAGCCCAGTGCCTGCATGGTCCGTGGCTCCAGAGGCCAGCAGTAAGGCCAGTAGGAAAAGTGGTTCCACTTTGTCTCATCAGGAGTTTAGATTTTCTTCTCAACCTTGTACTGACTTGCCTTGGGTAGTAGCAAATTCATGTCATCGGTGGTATTGGCTGAAAAGTTGGAACATCATTTTGGGGGACATACATGGAATAACTCACTGGTCCATTCCAGCCCTGGTATCTAATGTCTAATTTCTCAGGGTCCTTCTGACAGTTGTTGAATGAAAGCAAATCAACTTGACATCCCACCATTCCCCAGAGCACCGGGCCCCATTGGGAGCCTGGGTGACTGTCATCAAAGATGGTTGTTTTCCAGATGAGCTCCTGGAGCCTGCAGGGTCACTGGGTACAAGAAACAGTTTTTTCTGAAAAGCATTGAACCAAAAGGGCCAGACCCCAGGTTTCCCTTGGCTGTACCAGGCAGAGGAAAGCAGCAGATGGGGACGTACTCTGTGCTGAAGATCCCCCCACTCCGATCTGGCCAAGCACAGACCTCCGTGTAAACAGGAAGAGAGCCTCATCTTGCTACGCAAGGCTGGCCAGTAAGAAAGGAGTCTGGTGGCTTCTGCCACCTTCAGTCCAGACCAGATGGACCTTTTCCTCAGGAGAGAAAGGAGTCTTCAGCTCCAGTAATGCCCTCTGTCTGTCTGGAAGACAGATCGGCTCCTCCAAAACACTCAGGACTCCGGGAATCTGACCTAGACAGGGATTAAGTGCCTAAAGCCAAGTTTACATTTTAATAGGATGCAGTTAATCCCTAGTAATAAACATGGAGCCTGCCACTATTGAGAAGAGGCTCTGGCCTGGCCCACAGATGTGCCCTCCCCAAACCGAACCAAGCAGTGAGGACAGCCCCCGGGGTGACTGCATCAGGCCTCTCTGCCTTTAATCTTTCCAAATGTGGGGTGGACGGTCTGGTCAGCCCCTTCTCTGGGGGGAGCCGCTCTCGGCGGGTCGTAGAAGGGGCCATGTGTCCAAGGACAGGAGCGATACTCTCCAAACCACAGGGTGGGGCGCTGTCTGCAAAGGGGAGGTGTCCAGGTTCAGTCCCAGCTGGATTTGCAGCAAGTGCCGAAGAGCCGAAGACACTTGACTCCTGAGAGGAGGGAGAGCAGGCCTACTTCACTTGAGGCCTCTGCCCTTCTTAGACACTGCTGGGTGACCAAGGGCAAACCCCCTCCCTGTTCTGTTCACGTTTGCTCTGACAAGCTCAATCCCTGGACCTTCCCGACTCCACTGGGTTTTTCAAGGACCCTCTAGAGCCCCCTGGTGTTACACGATGCCCCTCTTCCCCATAAGGACTCCGGCACACTCCAGCTGGGGCTGGTTACTTTGTTTTATTTGCAGACTCAAGTTTGCTACATGAATCCATTGCACAGTCCAACACACACATACTTGGCACAGGAGAGAGGACAGAACGCACATACAACTCTGGATAGTAAATGGAACTGTCCCCAGCTCACCTCAGTCCATCCCAGGGGGACACCGGTATTTAAGGTCCAAACCTGGAGAAATGTGGAATGAGGAGGCAGGGAGGACTCAGCCAGTGCCGTTGCCCCAGTAAGACCCTGGGCCCGGGCGGGTGGGCTCTTTTTGGTTGTGTGGCTGTTTCAAACACCTTCAGACCTGGTCGCTTCCTCCTCTAGTAAGGGTAAGAGAACCAAGCAGGTTATGGGACACTCTCCATAAAGAGCTGGGGCAGGTGCTGCCCAGTCAAAGCCAAGTGTATCCCTGGGACCCCGCCTTCCCAGGGCAAGCCAGCCTGAGCTCTCTGCCTCTGGGCACCCCTGACGGGGAGGAGGGCAGAGAGACTGAAGGTGTCCTCCCTGGCCCTGCCTTGAGCCGATTTCAGAATTGTACTAATTCCAGTGTCTCTCCTTCCCTGGTCCCTCCCTAGATCTGAGCCCACCTAGCCCTTTGTGAGGATATCAAATCCCAGGGAAGTGAGAGCTGGCCGCAGCCCGCTGACCAGGGCATCTAAAGGGCATTTCTGTTAAGGTGGGCAGGCCCCTGCAGCAGTAATAAGCCCTCCGGTCCTCGGCGTGTTCACCAAGGCCGGGGCTCAACATGATTGGCACAGAGTTGCAGGAGAGCTGAGCCTTCCAGGACAGGACAAAAGAGGGTGGTCAGCCCCCTGGGCTCCATATGACGCACAGGCTCACCAGCACCCTCCCGGTGGGCGAGGAGGGAGATCTGGCCGAGGAGCAATGAGCCCAGGGCTGCCTCCTCTTCGTCCCAGGGGCTGAGAGAGGCCAGAGACTGTACTTCTGTGCTATTTGTTTTGTTGCATCCGAGAGCGGGGGGAGAGTCATGCTCCTCTGCGACCGCTAGACATTCCGCCGTGGGGGCAGCAGGGGGTGGAGGCAGGGGCCGGGGTGGGGACGAGGGCACTGCCATGGTCACATGACCTAGCCTCAGCGTCTCGGCACACAGCTGTCATGGAGCCCCTGGCATTTTAAACATGGACACACACATACACATGCGCACACACCCAGGCTTCCGGGCCCGTGCCCCTGGGCAGGTGGAAACAGAACACTGATTAGGAAGAAGCCGTGTGGGGAACTCACACTGGCTTGAGGCCGCGGTCCTGACACTGTGTAAAGGAGCCCGGACATGGCCCGGGGAGCCCCGGGGAGCCCTGAGATTTGTTTTCCATCAGCCCCAGAGCCCGGGGGACCTGCTCGGCTCTCCCTCTGAAGCTGTGTGCTGGGGTCGCTCCCCTGCCTGTCACTCCTGCCGTCCCCCACGCACACTGCGGGGGCCCCGGTGCTTCTCCACGCTCCTCCCGTCCAACCTGCCCACTCCTCTTCCTTCCCATCCCTCCGTGGGGGGGGCTCATGCTTAACGACAACAAAACCGCTTTGTGTCGCCTCAGATTCGGGGCACGTTTCATCTGTGACAGTAACGGCACTGGAAGGCCTTGGCAAGTGCACACCGGGCCCCTCATCTCCCAACGCCCCTCCCCATGTCCTCACACCCTCACTCCCCCACCAGCTTCTCTTTGAAAACCCCCGGAGGTGACGGTCACATCCTCCTCCCGCCAGCAGCTCCACCTGCAACAGGACACCCGTGAGCTGACGGCCTGTTCTCGGGCTCAGCCAGCTTCAGCACGTTCCCCGGAACCAGAGAGGTCTTGCCACAGCCTAGGCCTGGGGCTCAGTGACCCCGGCCCACTGTCCCCTCCAGCGGAAAGGGGCACCTGTGCTTGGCACAGCGGTAAGCAGCCGGCAGCGAGCTCAGCCCTCCCTTCGCCCCGACATGGGTGACTCTGGCTAGGCCAGCCCAGCTGTGGGGGACCCTCCCCCTCCAGGTGAGTTAGGGGTCTGCGAGGTCGAGTGGAGCTTCCTTAACAACTCGGGCTCCTCGCTTTTCACCCCAGAGGCCTCTGGCGTCCCCAGTGGGTAGGCCTCCCTGGGCCCGCCGGTCCTGGAGCAGGTGAGGAGGGCCCGGCAGGCGGCGCGGAGGCGGGCCATGTCCCGGTGCGTGGTCTCGCTGACGAAGCAGTACAGCACGGGGTCGGCCACGCAGTTGAAGCTGGTGAGCAGCAGGGAGAAGTGGTAGGTGTTGATGATGCCCTTGGCGAACCGGCAGCTGGACTCCCAGATGCTGCGCACGAGCAGCAGCGCGTGGTAGGGCAGGAAGCAGACCAGGAAGATGACCACGGTGCTGAGCACCAGCCGCTGGATCTGGTCCTTGCGGCTCTGCTGGGTGCCGTGGCTGCGGTGCACGGCCCGCAGGATGCCCCGGTAGGCCGCCAGCAGCAGGCAGAGGGGGAAGAGGAAGCCGACCAGGAAGCGGTAGTAGTTGATGCCACGTTGCCATGGCTCCAGGGGGTAGTGGTCGAAGCAGACGCGGTGCCGGTGATCGTCCTCCACCACCTCCCTGTGCAGGAGGAAGTAGACGCTGGCCAGCAGCTCCTTGGCCCAGATGGCCACGCTGATGCCCACGGCCGCCTTCAGGGTGCGGAACTGGTGGAAGCGGAAGGGGTGGGCCACGGCCAGGTAGCGGTCGATGGAAATGCAGCAGAGGAAGCCCACGCTGATGTAGATGTTCTCGTAGAGGAGGATGCCGCACACCTGGCAGGACAGGTCGCTGTAGGACCAGTTGTCGTGCTGCAGCACGTACTGCAGCCAGAAGGGCAGCGAGCAGATGTAGACGAGGTCGGCCACCGTGAGGTTGCACAGGTACACGCCCAGCTCGTTGCGGGCTCGGATCTGCAGGTAGCCGAAGTAGAGAGACAGGCAGTTGGCCGGGAGCCCCACCACCAGCACGGTGACGTAGACCGCGGGGGCCAGCATCTGGTGGATGCTGTGGTCCACGGAACAGTTCAGGGAGGAGTTGTCTGCAGCGACGGTCCCCATCGTTGGGCCTGCAGGGGCCTCTCCTCTCAGGGGCTCAGGGAATGGGCCCGTCTCTCCGCTGCCATGTTGTTCATAGGCTGCAGTTCACGCTGCATCAGAGGCTGGACCTCGGTGGTGGGTGAGCTTCTGAAAGTCAAAGGCGGGAAAGGCTTAGAAGAACAGCACCTAACGTTTATATAGCGCCTCCTGTGGGTCAGGCGCTGTCCTGTGTGCCTCACTTAATTTCGAGGACGACCCAGCCAACCAACTCCATCCCAACTAGAACCTCCGGAGGTGGTTTCTGTCTCCCCATACTCCTTCCCTGGCTTCCTGTCCCTTACTTATGGTCCTGGTCCTGTGAGCACAACCCGCCCTGAGCCAGCTCTCCAAGGACGGCAGGAGGTACAGATCAATTCCAACGGACATACAACAGTGAGGCCCTCGCTGCTGTCTTCTAAGCAATCAGTGCCATTGGCATTTTCCCTGCTTGCTCACGGGAATGGACCAGGTCAGCCACAGCCCCTCCTGGGGGGCTCTCCAGGCAGCAGGAAAGAGGCCCAACCTTGTCCACATCCCACAGTGCTCTGGTGAAAACAAAGGCCAGGCTTCCCTGGGCACTGCCTGAATTCCTGGGTGTCTGTCAGCCGGCGCGAACCCTCCTGTCTTCCACGGAGCTTGGGGACCCAGCACGGGGGACGGCGCAGGACCAGGCACCAGCAGACATGAGCGCCAGGTCACGGTCAGCTGCTTACAGGCTGTACAAGTCATTTACCCCTTCTGAGCCTCAGTTTCCTCATCTGCAAAGTGGGGACAGAAACACCTGTCCTCGGGGGCGGTATCAGGGCCACACAGAGGACAGGTGTCGAAGTGCATGGCGTTGCTTTCCTTGTTGCAAAGAGGTGGAGGGAAAGATGCTAGCCGCACTCACATGCCTGAAAGGTTCATATTGTTGAGAACTTCACAAAGAAAATGCTATATGTGCAAATACACCTGAACAAGATAGGATGAAGATTTTTTAAGCCTACTTTATAAATTAATACATCAAAATCAATCTCTTCTGGTTCAGATGGGAAATCTGGCTGTGTCTCCATCAGGACCTTTCTCAACCTTTTATTTTTTCCATAATCATACTCCCAAGGAGCCTTCCCCTCCCCCCACTCCATGAATTTTAATACCTCAGGTATAGGGTGACAAATCATTTGATCTCTAAGATTTTTTCACCTCACCCAAGCACCATCGTTCCCCCCTTGAGACTGCAGGGTCTACGTGGTCGCAAAGCCGAACGCGCGGGGTCTGAGCTGGGCGGTTTGGCGGCACTGGCGGGTCAACCCTGCCCTGTGCTCTCTCTCCACCGGGGTCAAGCTGGGACTCTCCAACCAGAAGAGACACCCCTCAGAGTTCAGGGCCCGCATCTCGTCACCTGCTGACCAGCCCCCCCCCCCCCCACACACACACACAACCTCCTTCCTACAGGCTCCATCTGGCTCCTGCTGGCCCTGGGCCCCCCTGAGCCAGGGCTCAGGCTGGAAGTGGGTGCTGTGTGCTGAGAAGGGGCTCGGAGACCAGTCTAGCAGACCCCTGCCTGAGGTTCATGGAGGATAAACTTGAGGAGTTCCCCTGAAATCAAATGCTCAATCTTATAAATATATAAGTATGTGCATTTTTCCTGGGAAAGGGGCCTGCAACTTTCATAAGAGTGTCTAACATGGGCAAGAGATGGGTCTGGTCCGACGTTACCGCCCTCTCAGCTGGACTCCCTGTGGCTCTCCCACAGCCAAGCTCCCCCCCCCCCCCCGCCCACTCATGCCCCCGACTGTTATCTACCCAACACCGAAATGCAGACCAGATCCTCCTCTTCCGTGCTTAGAGCCCACTGACAGTTTCGTATCACACCTCTAGCAGAACCCAAACTTCTTATGGAAACTCTGACCGAGCTCCCTGCACCTTGCCCATCACCACCCATTCTCGCCACACTGGCCAGCTCCCTGTGCCTCGGTCGCCCAGCCTCGCTCTTGGGCTCTGCACCCGCTGCTGCCTCCCCTGGAGAGCTACCCCCTTGCCCCACCCCTACCTCACCGCAGGGCTGGCTCCTCGGCTGTGTGATCTCAGCCTGAACGTCACCTTCTCCTCCTGCTTAGAGCAGCCCCTCCCAGTCCCATCACACCATCCTCTTTGCTCCACGGAGCGCCCATCAGGATCTGAGATTTTCTCATTCATTGACTTGTCTGCATGCTGACGATCTGTCTCCTCCATGAGATTGTCAGTTCCAAGAGGGCAGAGCCTTGTGCAGCTCCAGTGGGGCCTGGCACCTCATAGGCACCCGTGAATTCTGGAAGGAATGACGAAGGCTACCTCCCCATTTTACAGGTGAGGAAACTGAGGTCGCAAAGGGAAGTGACTGGCCCAAAGCCAGCCAGAGGAAGGAAGTGTTGGTGTTAGAATCCAGGCCTCCTTGCTCCATGTCCCACCTCCCTGCCACCTCCAGTCCCCACCTGAGACTCACCACCAACCTCTCAGTCCCCGGAAGTCAGGGACCCCCGTCAGGCTCACGTCCTGGCCTCTCTAGGACACAGGCCTGAGATTTCAGTGATGATGGGGGAGCAGGTGCTCCTGGTTGTCTTTTTTTTTTTTTTTTTTACCTTCACCCAAGACATTTTTTTCCATCTTTTGTTCAGATAGAGTGTGAGGGAGAGAGAGGAACAGAGAGAGAAACATCGACGTGAAAGGGACACATCGAGTGGCTGCCACCCGCACGACCAACCAGGGCCGGGGACAAACTGCAACCAAAGTACGTGCCCTTAGCGGGAACCAAACCCGGGTCTCTCTGGACCACAGGCCGACACTCTAACCACTGAGCAAAACGGGCCAGGGCTTGACCATTTTTCTTTAAATCCTCACCAAAGGATATTTTTTTCAATTTATCTTCAGATAGGGAGGGGGGGGGAACATTGATGTGAGAGAGACACATCAACTGGTTGCCTCCTGCACGACCCTGACCAGGGCCATGGACGAACTGCAAGCGAGGTACGTACCCTTGACCGGAATCAAACCCGAGACTCATTGGCCTGTGGACCAATGCTCCAACTGCTGAGCCAAACCGGCTGGGCCCGTGCTGACCATTTCGAGTGTCCTGTTCTCTGGCATGAAGGACATCCACACTGTGCGCCACCGTCACCACCATTCAGCCCCAGAACTCTTCCTCCTCCCCAACTGGAAACTCCGACCCCGTGAAACCTAGCCCCCAGCCCCTCCCCCACCCCTGGCACCCACCAGTCCACTTTCTGTGTCTAGGAATCTGACTATTATTTGTCTTTTTCCTGACAGGCCTATTTAACTCGCCCGCACTGTGCGGGGCAGGCTCCCCGCTCTGGGGGCTGGCAGTGCCCGGGTTGCGCTGCAGTGCGGGTTTCCAGTCCTGGCCAGTGAGCACGGGCCGCAGCTCCCTGTGGGCCCCTGTGAACAAGCTGCTATGAACTTGGGTGCACAGATATCGACTGGAGTCCTGCGTTCAGCTTTTTGGCACATGTACCCAGAGATGGGACCCGGGGTCACATGGCAATTCTATTCTCAGCGTTTTGAGGAACCGTCATTCTGTTTCCACAGTGGCCGCGCCAGGTCACACCCCCACCACCGGTGCAGCCCAGGGCTTTATGTTTTGGGCTTTTTGTGGTTTGGTTTTATTTCCATGCTCTGGAGGGCAGAGGAAGGGGAGGAGGGGCAGCTGAGACCGGCGACCCCGAGGCTCTGCCCACGGCCTGGTGAGTCAGAGCCGGGCCCTATTTGCCCTCCTCTCGCCAGCTCTCCTGCCCAGGAATCCCCAGCCCGCCCCTGTGGGGCCCCACGGGTCGCCTGGCCGACATCTGAGAAGTCAACGGCAGCACAGGCCCCCAAACCGCCCCCAGGGGCGCCCACCCAGGACCTCACACACCAAGTTAACGTCCATTCATAAACATGGGCCCGCACAAGCCAATGAAACAGGGCACATGAAGCCACAGTGAAAACACGTCCAGTCAGGACTTAGGAATTCCCTGAGGGTCACCGGCCGGAGCCCGCGTTGACCAGTGTGAGCGATGCGCCCGCGGGCTGGGCTGGGACAGCCCTTCCTCTGTCCTCGGCCAACCACAAGTGGGGTCCGACGACCAAGTCGCAGGCAGTCAGGCCTACAGGCCCAAGAAGAAACACTTACTATGTTTAAAGTAGCTCCTACGTTCCCTTTGGAGCACAAAGAGGGTCCTGACATCCCAGACAGTGGTTCTTGAACCTGGGTGCCTCTGCGTCACCTGGAGGATTTGTTACAACTGATCTCTGAGCCGCACCTCCAGAGGCTGTGACTCCGTGCATCTGAGACGAGGCCCGTGAGCCACACTCAGGGCCAGAGACTCAAAGGTTTGCTCCTGATCAAGTGTCCTACATGAGTCCCAGGCTGGGGACCAGAGCTGGCTATAAGGGGAACTTAAGGCCTGGCAGAACCTTGTGGTCAGAACCAGGACGCAGCCTTTGGGAGATCAACAGCCCAATTCAGGCTTTCAAAATACAGGGACTGGATCTGTATTTGCAAAAGCTCTTACAGTTTACAGAGCATCTCACACCAGCCCACTTGCCTGGTCTTCATGACAGCTTGTTATCCCCCCATTTTAGGGGCAAGGAAACTGAGGCCCAAAGAGACAGAGTGGCTCACCCAACAGTCCAGCACCTCTGGGTTTCATGCAGCGAGTATTTGTGGAGCATCTACCATGTCCATGGTGCCAGACTAGATGCGGGGGACTGAGGGAGCGGGAAGGAATGGCCGCCCCCTCGGCGACCTCGGGGCTGGTGAGCCAGGAGCGCCACCTGCACTGGGCCCGCCTGCAGGGCGGCAGACGGTGGGCGCGCCCTGCACGGCCCTCCCACTCAGTACTGTCCGTTTGTTCTCCTCACTGCACGCGCGCTGTCTGTGGGAGGGCGGCTCCTCCGTGGTTCGACGTCCTCTCCACTGTCTGGATGCCCAGACCGCACACCCTCCCCGGGGAAGGCTGACTTAACCAGCTTCCTGCCGCCACACAGGGGACTCAGGGAGGCCCGCCCTGTTCCTGTCATTTCCTCCACGCGTCTCCTGCCCGCCCACTCATGCTGGATGGCCGGCTCTCAGCTCCTTCCCTCACTTCATCCCCAGCATCCAGTTCGACCACTTTCCGCCCTGAGTAGTTCCCATGTCCGCCTCCTCCTCTTCAGCTCCCTCCCTAGTGCCCGGACTGGCTTGGTCAAGACTTTCCTCCCCAGAGCAAAGATCCCATCTCCACCTCACCGCCCTCAAAGCCATCCTCCACAACACAAATCTAACCTAATCACGCCTGCTCCGGACCCTTTGACGGCTGTCCAATCATCCGCCTGTCCATCTGTCTGTCCATCCGCCCATCCATCCACCCACCTGCTCCCCCATTCACTCATTCATCCCCAGAACAAACACGTATTGAGTCTATTATATGGAAGGTACTGCACTGGACGACTCCTACTCTTACTCAAGTTGCTTTCAGTCTCACGGGAGAGGGGGGAAGACAAGCAAGCCAGCTCCTAAGGAGAGACCAGGACCCTAAGGAACTCCATTCGAGGGGTCTTGACCCGGCCAGAAGAGCCTTCCTGGGCAGTGAGCTCTGCTAAGACCAGGAGAACGGGGAGAGGCTGCCTGAGCAGAGGGGGTTTCTGTCTATAGAAACAATGTGTGCAACAGATCACATCCAGGACCCAGAGAACGGGCTCCTTCCGGGAAATGCAAGGTGCTTGGTGTGACAGGATCTAGGTACGAGGAGGGCATGGCCAGAGAGGGGACAAGAAGCTGTAGGAACTGGTAACTAATTAGAAAGGAGAGGACAGTCAGCGATGAATCTGAGATGTTCTTCAGTGCTTAGTGCTTATATGCTCTCAAAATTATTTGTTAGATGGATAATGGGTGGGTGGATGGGGGAATGGATGGGAGGATGAATGGATGAAGGTTAGATGGATAGACAGATAAATGGGTGGGTGGGTCGGTAGATGAGTGAATGGGTGGGTGGATGGCCAGATGGACGACAGGCACATGGATAGATGGATGTGTGAGTGAGTAGACAGATGGATGAATGGGTTGGTAGAGAGCAGGTGGCTGGGATGGGGAGGGGGTTGAGGCTGGGACAGTGGGGGTTTGATGAACAGAAACAGACAAGTGACAAAGAGGACTCGCTGTGGCCTCGTTTCCAGTGGCCTGGCACTTGCTCAGGCTGCCCCAGCTGCTCCGAGGTCCTGCCTTCTCACCCAGGCCTCGCCACAGCCAGTCTCCCCCCACCAGTCCCTAAGGACAGGCAGAATGATCCTCGTTTAGTTTCTACCCCAGGTGGAAACTATACCTTGCCAGGAGCATCCCTTCTCTACCTGGTCTCCATAGGAATCTCATTCCTCAAAAATCGAAAGACAGTGTGGATGCAAAAGTGTTCTGTCAGTGAAAAGACACATTTCCTGGGACGGAAGCGCCAAGCCCTAGCTGCCGAGAACCCTGCACCTGCCAGGACACCCCTCTCCACACCATTCCCATCGGCACCCATTGTACAGGCGATAAAACAAAACCGAGGCTCGGAGAGAGATGAACCAACCTGCTCAGGATTCCAGTTACAACGTGGTGGGCTAAGTTTTCAACTCAGACTGGCCCACCACGCTCCCTTTCTGCTTGTCATGATGGTCACCGAGCAGCCACCCTCCAACCCCAGGCTTCGCCAGGCTCCAGTCTCTACAGGTGCCACCACGAAGGCCACCAGGCTTGGTCCCGGGCCAGCCCCCTGCACCTGGAGGACGTCCTGCCAGGTCACCCATTCCCTCAGCACCAACTGATGCAAACCTGTGTGCCCAGTCATGGTTCCCCCAGCGGAGGGGGTGGGGCAAAGAACCAAAACAAGGGGCTGCGGCATCTACTTCAGACGTTTATCATCCAGCTAAGAAACCGACACCACACACAGGCAGTCCTTTACACAGATGCTCATCAGCACAGAGGTGTCTCCAAGGACTTTAACGACCAAGAGAACTTAAGCCCCGAAAGGAAGGAAGGGCCTCTTTGATGCAAAGGAAGAACCTCTTGCACGGTCAGGCCAGGAGGAGGGGCCTCATGCTGCATGAACAGTGATCTCACCCACCACTATCCCTTCCACGGGTGCACACGGGCACACAGACACTCACTCACAGCGCCCAGTGGCCCTGCTCATGGAAGCCGAGCCCCAGAGCAGGGCCAAGCGTCTCTTCCTTTATCTGGTCAAATCTCCACACTCTGCACAAGGTCGTTTCATTTCCTAAAAGTGTTTGCCTCAGAAGCTGTTGATATTTCCCTCGGGTGGGAGTAGAAACCAGGTCGCATTTTTCCTTAGTCCCCACTGCTCCCCCACTGCCTCACTGCAGCAACAAGACAGACTCTCGTTTCCAAGGGCCTCGTAACTGTTTCCATTTCACTCCCTTCTGGGCTCACAGAGTGGCTGTGGTTCAGGTGCGGCTGGCCCTGCCAACCCATTTCACAGGACCTGAAGCCCGGAGGGCCTTGCCCGAGTTCACACAGCAAGTCAGGTGGGTCTGAACCCAGAATCCGGGCATCCAGGCACCGACTAGCTGCCTTTGAAAATATGTTTCTACTGATTTTTTTAGAGAGAGAGGAAGGAAGAGAGAGAGAGAGAGAGAGAGAGAGAGAGAGAGAGAGAGAGAGAGAGAAAGAGAAAGAAACATCAGTAGGCTGCCTCCTTCACGCCCCCCCACTGGTGGGGATCAAGTCTGAAACCCAGGCACGTGCCCTGCCCGGGAACTGAACCGGGACCTCTCAGTCCATGGGCCAATGCTCAATCCACTGAGCCACACCAGCCAGGCCCACCTAGCTGCCTTTAAACTCTTTTGACCACAGACCACAGCAAGAGGTGCACTTGACAGTGTAACCCAGCACACACATTCTACACACAGAGGCACGCACAGAGAAACAAACTTACCAAAGCAGTACTTACCCTATCACTTACAATGCACTCTGATCATGTCGGTTCTGTTTTTCTAAATGCAGGTCATGAGCCACTGAATGATTTCCTGACCCTCTAATGGGTCACCATCCTGTCTGGAAACAGCTGGACTGGCCCCCACCTGCTCAGCCTCCAGACCCCAGGAAGGCGATGGTCTCTGGGCCAGACGAGGAGCAGGCAGAGCCGGGCAGCGCAGGGAGGCCCCAGGGGGATCTCCGGTCCTCTGACTCTGCTCCACAGCACAGCTCTGCCCTCAAACCTCAAACAGCTCGGCTTTTTTCAGCGGCTCCGCAGAGGCCTGGAGAGGAGCTGAACAGCACCTCACGGAGCCTGGTGGACCCCCCACGCTGCATCAGCACCCACGCTCCCCCTCTGGGGATTTCCCACAGACCGTGCCTCCCAGCTAGTCTAGAAAACCCCAGCTGGAGGCTGCCCGCTCCCGCTGAGGCAGAATCATGTGAACTGTCAGTCCGAGTGGCAGGCTGGCGGCTGCCCAGGGACACTCGCCAGCCACAGGACGAGGGCGGTGGGACTGCTCCCGCCACCACCCGCCATCTGCCTTCCATACACCCCCGAGGCAGGGAGCAACCTTCCCGGCAATAGTGAAGCCTGAATTAGGGACAGGGGACCTTGGGGCTGGGGGGCTCGCTGGAGAAGTGGGGTACACTAATGCTGCCCATCAAACCCTGTTGAGCACCTGGATCCCAGGAGAGGAGATACAGGCAGGGGAACCACTGCGCCAAGGGGGCCTCACTTGAACTGCAGACAGGCTGCCGCTCAGGTAACCGGGGCCCAGTGAGAACAGGACAAGAGGTGAGGACAGGGGCAGGCTGGCTGTTTCCTCTCCCACCCTTAGGCTGTCACCCTGCAGCCAACACCTGGGTCAGTGGGTCCCATGTACCTCAGAAAAAACACCTGGGGAGCTTATAAAAAAAAAAAAATGAAACCAATGCCCAGGCCCTGCTCCCTGGAGATGCGGTGCCAGCACCAATGTTTTTAAAAGCTCTCTGGACAGCCCTGGCTCCACGGTTAGAGTGTTGGCCTGCAGACAAAGGGTCTCGGGTTCGATTCCTGGTCAAGGGCACTTGGTTGCAGGTTCGATCCCAGCCTGTCTTGCAGGAGGCAACCAATCGATGTGTCTCTCATCGATGTTTCTCTCTCTCCCCCTCCTTCCCTTCCATTCTATCTAATAATCAATGGGAAAATATCCTCAGTTAAGGATGAACAAAAAGCATAAAATAAAAAATAAAGTAAAATAAATAAAATAAAATAATTAAGCTCTCTGGACACTCCCAGTCGGCAGCCGGGTGGAGAGCGCTGATGTGTGTGCTGGAGGCACGTCAGATCCTGTCGCGCAGACCAGTGGCTCTAGGGCTCGGAGGCGGCTCTGGGCCATGAGTAAGGCAGCGTTCATGGCCCCGCATGGGGAGCCAGCGCCGGGCTCTGGCGTCACGGGGTCCTAGCTCTCAGGAGCATCTACTAGGCTCTCTCAGCACAGCAGGGCGGATGGGCGCCCTGGAGGTTCCCCAGCCCGGCCTCCTCACCACACAGGTGGGGAAACTCAGGCCCAGCCAGGCAGGGGCTCTTGATCAGGGTCCGCCAACCAACGGAGCTGCGATTCCAGGAGCCTGCTGCCCACATCAGGAGCCATGGGCGTGACCTCCTCCCTCCTCGGAGGCTGCCATAGGATATGCTGCAGGTCCAGGAAGCCAACACCCCCAGGCATGGGGGTAGGGGGGTCACCGACGCTGTACATGTTCCCTGCTCTGTTATGTGGTATGTGGGACTTCTCTTCTCTGAGATAAAACTGCTCTAGTCCTGTCAGGGGACTGTACTGGTAGGGGTCCCAGGAAAAAAAAAAAAAAAAACCCTCTGCGGGTCCTGGGCCCTTTTCACTGGTTTCTTACATTAGTTCCTGCAAACATAGGGGATGGGATGAGAGACCAGAGAGCGTGCCTGTGCCTTGTCACAGTTCAGTAGTGTTCACTAGACACAGACACTATTCCTGAGTTGCAGAAGTGTGGCTGGCTTTCCCCGATGTCATACGGAAGGACAGGTGGATTTGAAGTGCGGGGTCAACTTCGTGGTGATTGCCTGGCTCCCCCAGGACACGCCAGCCAAAGAGAGCACCCTGGCTCTGTCTACAGGGCAGTCCAGCCTAACAGGACCTGCACACACAGGCCGTCCATGCCCGGAAGAACCACTGATGGTCTGGTGTCTTTCCCCCTCCAAGGCTCCCAAGCTGTCGCAAGGTTGTCCAGCCCCCTCCGCCAACAGTATACACCGCTTCATCTGGAATGGGGCGCTTTCCTCTCTCCAAGCCCAGGGACCCCCATCCCTCTCCACTGGGCCTCTGGGACTGCAGACGGGATGAAGCAGACTTCAGTTTTACTCAAATCGCTCAGCCCACGTCCTCTGTGACGTGCCCGCCTAGTGGAGGAAGAACAGGTCGAGCTGTGATCCACTTTGCTGCTGGGATGTTGTCTTGGGTCTAACGAACAGGGAGAACGAGGAACCACGACGGCACCAAGCATCAAGCAGTGGCCTGCGGGGTCCTACGAACCCATAGCCTACACCCACCCACCCTCTCCAAGTAAACCTGACACTAAGTCAAAGTTGTGAGTCTGTAATCAAAGCACAGCCTCCAGCCCGGCCAGCGTGCTGAGCGGTCAGAGCGTCAGCCTGCCGACCGAAGGGCCAGAATCGCCGGAATCTTGGAGTCTGTGCCAAGCAGAGAAGGGCAGCTAGTCCCCGCAGGCCCCGTGGGTGTGGCGGCCTCAAGGGGCTGCCAGGGCCTGCCTCGGTGTGCAGCTCCACCCATCCTGAGCAGACAGGGGCCTAACATGGGCCGGGCCCATCACCTGAACCTCCAGCCCCAGGGAGGGCACTGCAGGCCCCGCTCGGATGACAGGCCAGAAAGCTTGCCTGAACCCTGGTGTCCCTGCCTGCCCCCAGTACAAACATCTGCTGCCGGGACCTAGGCTCTGAAGGGCTGGTGGGGTTTTCTGAAATGTTCGAGAGACTATTTTAAGGGAAACAGGGCCTCAGGCCACAGGCCCAGGCACCTACTGGCCCCCAGAGGTCCAGGCAGCCTGGGTGTCATCACAGAGAAGGCTCTGGAGTCTGCCCTGAGCTAGTGGTCCCATGCACGGCCTGTGCACATGGCAGCAAGCCTGTGGTCATGGGATGGAGCTTAGAAGCAGAGGTTCTGGGCCAGACTGCAGAGGGTAGGTCCCTGAGCTGCCACTGACCTTGACAAATCGCATTCCTGGATAAACGATGGATTTTTGTGAGAACCTGAGAGATGAGGTCCAACAAGTGCCCGGCACTGTGTAGCTTCCTGATAAGTGTTCGTGAGGAAGCAGTGATGATGAGGATGTACCACTCCGTCGGGCTAGAAAGTCCTCCCCACAGTCTGGGCAGGCCAACTTGGTAAGATACTCGTTATCTAACCTTATTCCCATGGCTACTCCTCTCATCTGGAGCTGGTCCGGGTAAAGGCCTGAGGATTCTCGGGGACTCTGACAAGTACAAGAAGTGTCTACCATGAGCCATCTGCTATTTGCCTGCAGGGACCTTCACTGACTGTGTCTTGAAGGCCGGCCTTGACCTTCCCTGGGCCTTATACTTGAGCACACGCTTACAACAGAAGCAGGAACAGGTGCTGCTCTGCTGCAGGTTCGAAAGTGGCCAGGTGTGAATTCAGATGGCTGCAGGGACCAAGAGGAGGACCAGCGGAGATCCTCCCAGAGTGCCTGGCATCACAGCCCTGGTGCGGCTAGAGAAGAGGAGGGAGCAACTCAGGATCCAGAAGCACAGTCGTTGCCCTTCTGGGAGCACGTGCTTTGTGCCAGGTGCCATGCTGAGCACCCTCCAAATGTCTCCCGTCTGCACCCTCGCACTGACCCTGCAAGGCAGGGTTATCCCTATTTTACAGGCAAGGCACCGGAGACTGACAGCACCAGCAACCCGCCCAGGGGCACACAGCTGGGCGGCAGCAGAACTGTTTGACTCTAAAAGCAGGGCTCTTAGCGACTTCATGAGTTTCCTGTTGCTGCTGGAACAAATGACCGCAAGTAGCAGTTTACGACAATGCAGATTTCTTCTCCATGGTGGTGAGGAACACAGTGTTGGCAGGGCTGCGTTCCTTCCGGAAGGGGTAGGGAAATGGACTTCCTTGCCTTGTCTAGCTTTTAAAGGCTTCCAGCATTCCTTGCTCGTGGCCCCTTCGTCTTCAAAGCCAGCAGTGGAAGATTGAGTCCCTCTGACATCCCTTCACTCTGCCCTCTGTTCCATGGTCACATCTCCTTCCCTGACTCCAACCTCCTGCCCCCCTCTTCCACCTGTAAGGACCCTGTGATCAGCCTGGGCCCGCCTGGTCGGTGACAGAGTCGGGATTCAAGTCAAGGTCCGACCTCACTGCGTTTTAATAATTACAGTGCAATGCATGGGAACGTGTCTAATGATGTGCCCATCTTCCCCTCCAGACGGTACGCTCCATCAGGAAGGAGGAGCTGGGTCTGTTTTGTTCTCTGCCAAAATAAATGCACAACAAAAATGTGTTGAATGTTTGAGTGAGTAAACGAATAAGCTCCTTTTACCTCTGCAGCCCACCTGGAAGGCCAGCGTGGCATGGCTGAAATTGAACAGGATATGGGATGAGGTAACAGGAAGAGGGTTGGTTTTTCACTCTGAGGGCATGGCTTGGCAGTTATGTGTGAAAATGCATTACAAAGAAAGTCTACTGCTAAAAGAGAGACTTTGGTTTCTCTTTGGAGTGTCTGTGATCTGTCTGAGGAGGTCTGATCTGCTTGGAGCATCCGTCCTGCTCTGATGCTGGAAGCACAAAGCATAGGCCCGCGGGTTGCCATGGTGACCTCGGGCCTGCCTTCCCATTAAGAGTGCTCCAACCCATCAATTAATAACCTAATAATGTATGACAATCACTTCAAACACCCAGTCAGTAGGCCTCTGGAAAAAGAGACTTCTCCAGGGACCTAGGAGCGGCAGAGATGTTTATTACACTCAGCCCAGGCCACCCGCTAAAATCTAACTTTCTGAATCCTAATTACTCTCTCCCATGTAGGATGCCTGCTCCCTCAGGACTGCAATGCCCAGTGAACCTGATCCTGATGCAAACAAGCTCTGTGAGAAAGCCCTAGGCAGGGATACTGGTGCCTG